CGTGTACATATGCATACATGCATGCATACATATGTATATATCATGTTTAGATTTTTGTCACCTGTATCCAAAGCTGGAATTTAAAAAGAGCTTTTGCGCAAAATTAGTGTTTACGGGTGTCAAATACGGTCTCCTAAAAGAATTCATACAAATTTTTTAGTGAGAAAGCGATTTCAAGAACCAGAGCAAACGGGAAGCTAAAATTCCACATTCTTTGTACTTTTTGTGGCTAAAAACTTCCAAATCAATTTTAGCGTGCACCTACGTCACATGTACGGACACGTCGAAGTTAAGTTTTCGTCATCGCTGACAAATGCAAATTCGAGAACTAAGCTGACTACAATGCCGTTTCTTTACGAGAATGTTTTCTTCCACTACGCGGACATGTAGAGTTAAAATGAGCTTTAGCGTATGTTTGCGTCACGCGTTCAGACATTTGAAAGATATTTGAAATGAAAAGCGATCTCATCAACCAGTCAAGTTAGGGAGCTGTAACTTTGCAGGGATATTCTGTACCAGGGTGCAACCTGAATATTTCAAATTTAGTTTTGAAGCACACCTGGTTTTCTAGTACGTGCGAATGAATGTTTAGTTAGGGATACAGTTGGCACCCGGTTTACTCGGTGAGCAGAAAGCAGTATTTTTCTGAGGATGTTTGCTGGCGAGCTTGGTGCGTCATTACCTGAGCTGTGATACTGTACAAAAAAAAAAATATCGTTCCAGGTTGCGTTCACTACGCGTATCTACCATCCAAACATCAACAGCAACGGTAGTATCTGTTTAGATATTTTGCGTTCTCAGTGGTCACCCGCTCTGACAATTTCAAAAGGTATTTGCTTTTGATGCTGCTGAGCGTTGCGTACAGTACGAGTCATCCGCTCTCAATTTGTTTGCATTATTTCTAATTCAAAGTTGAATAAGGAGTCACTTTGCGAGTCACTGACAGACTTCAGTGATAAGTTGGTGTTATGCCAGGGACTGAAAGCGTTCTCAGCTTGCTTTCCCAAACATTCATTCAAGAAGGCAGCACTGCCGATGAATGTTTGCTTGTTTACCAGATGCTACAACTTAGGTCACTTTCGTGGTGCCTTGTTCTCTCTCACTGAGCGCGAAGCAGGGCAGCGTTTTCACTGTTAACCGTCCTTAGGAAATTACGTCTGCTTATTCTATCGC